TCCCACGGATCCAAGAACCCCAAGGATGCCAAACACAGAAAGACAATGAAAACCACAGCGCAGTATGTCATAAGCACTCCCTTCTCATTTCCCACAGGTGCTTGGCAAAGGGGAGGAAAAGCAGCCTCTCCTGGAGAGTCTCAAGAAAAGCCTCGTAGGGTCTGCCAGGTTTCACTTGTGGCAGGAGGTAGAGGGGGTGGGCCGGGTGTTTGGAATGGGGAATCAGAGGGCATTATGAGAAGGATTTGACAGAGGACCAAGGATGAGAGAAATGGGGTCCATGGCTCATTTTAACTGGCTATGCACTTTCCTGGGAGATTTAGCTAGCTTTCCAAAGATTTAAGTTTTCCAAAGATTATTCCTACTCTTTTGTAAGAGGACTTTATTTGTTCAGGACAATACCTTTCTTCTGGTAATGCTCCTTGTAACCATGTGTATCACATGGGAGTCATCAATTTCCACAAACCCCATCTCAGTCTCTGTGACTAGAACAGAATGAAGAGCTGGTGTAAGCTCCACCAGTCCTAGCCTTTCTCCAGGAGTTTCGCCCTGGGAGCAGAGGGGCAAATGCAATCCTTGCCAGTGGTGAAGCGGAAGATGTTTGCCTACAAGTTTCTGGTGGCCACGTTGCCTCACTTACCAAGAAAGCTCGCCAGGGGAGAGTACAGGCAATAGAGGGAGGCCATTGGTGTATTCCAGTCACTTTCGGCCACCCCCAAGACCCTCTGCACTCTGGCCCTTCCCATGTTTTGGTTATGTGAACCATTAAATCGCCCTGTTCACCTAAATTAGTGCAACCAGTATGTTGAGCATGGAGGCAATGTGAAGGGATCATCACAGACACCTTCATTTTGTCTCCCACTGTTCCCTTAAAATGTCGTCATGTCTTTAATACACCTGAAGTAATAAAAATTCCATGGTCACAGTGAGTTGCTGTTTCCAAAATTAGAGTGTCCCATCTTGTGTAACAGTCACAGCTTTCAATTCATGAAAGCTGCAGTTGCTCCCTTCCCCCCAGTAGGGCTTAGTGCTGGCAGGTGCCTGACAGGGAAAGGGCATGCCTTGCTTGTCTTTCCTCTTCCCTCCTCTGCCAGCTACTAGCTGCTGACTCTGACCTCCCCCAGATTGCTGTGGGAGGAAGAGAGAATGAGCAGTAAAGACCTAGAGTGTTTGCACTCTCTGGACCTGACAAGTGGTTAAAGCTGACTCTGGTGGGGTGCTTTTGTGAGTGTTCTGATGACCCGTTTCCATCGTGGACCCCTCTTCTCTGCAGTTCTCCCAGTATGGATAATGCTTGTGCCTCTGCCTTGCTCCTCACTTCTGCAGCCCCTGGAAATCCCAACATCTAACCCCTGCTTCTGCTGGCCGAGGGCCTGTCAACCCTCCAGGCAGATCTTCTGGAAAGAACCCAAAACAAGCCCCCACCAACTCCTTCATGCATTGGTTTTTGCCAGAGATTCTGGGAGTGCAGGCCAGTCCCCATGCAGTGCTCTTCTGCAGTCAGCCTGCCCATCGCCCATCACCCAGCATATCCTCTAGACTTACTGGGTAGGAGGCGGGCCCCAGGCAGCCCATTGAGTTCTCCATACCTTATGGCCCTGTCAAGCTTCCTTCAGCAGGCTGGAGTGAGAGACAAGTACCCATCCTGCCCTGTTCATAACACAGCTCCCCATAAAGCAGTTTTCAAATCCTCTCTCCCTTCATCTCCAGCAACTGATTACTATTTATATGTGTTATAGGGAAGGCCTTTAGAATTACGTGATAAGTATTCAGAGATTTCCTTTGAAAATCTGCATCTTAGTCTAGCACTTCACTATGGTGTCTGAAACTTATCACCTTACAGACCCGGGTAAAATTTTCTTTCTAGCATCCCGTTACACTAATGTGATTTGGATTTATGACTGTTGTGACCAAATAATCCTGATAACAGTCAACAACTATTTATTGAGCGTCTGCTATGAGCAGCTACAGCTCTCGTGAGCTGTCAGTCCACATCATCTTTACATTTTTCTTGAATCCGTTTGCCAATGTTTATAAACTTAATTTTACCTTAAAAATCCAGATTCCTGGCTTGAAAAAAAAAATCAGAAGATGTGGTAATGTGGGGCCTGTGTTGCTGCCTGGCACAGTTAGCAGGAGCTAGTGGGAGCTGCCCTTCAGCAGGGCACGCACTGTCCAGATGGACTCAGTTCCCGCTGGGCTCTGATGCTAGAGCCAAGGCCCAGTTGCCATTTATCATGAGTATCATTATTCTGGTACTCATGTCTCTTTTTTGAGGGCTGTATGGGTACACTGAGCCTTCACTGTGTTGCCCAGGCTAGAGGGCAGTGGTATGATCACAGCTCACTGCAGCTTCTGTCTCCCAGGCCCAAACCTTCCTCCTACCTCAGCCTCTGGAGTAGCTGGGACTATAGATGTACACCAACATGCCCAACTAATTTTTAAATAAATTTTTTTGAACATAGGAGGGCTCACTATGCTACCCAGGCTGTTCTCAACCTCCTGAGCTCAAGCAACCCTCCCCTCTTGGCCTCCCAAAGTTGCTGCGATTACAGCACTGTGTCCTGCCCTCATGTCTCTTAATGAAAGAGAGAAAAGAGATAGACCAAGAGAGCCATGAAGGGACAAACTTGCTTTAGAAATGCAGAGTTCTTAGAAATTTAATATGCAGAGAGAGAGAGAGAGAGTGTGTGTGTGTGTGTGTATATGTGTAAAACAAAACAAAACTAAGATGCCACTGGCAAATAATAAACCCCAGATACAATTATTTTTACTATACAGAAAATATATGGGAGAAAAAACAGTGAATCAAAAAAAGACATTCCAACAAGATTTGTTTTTTAAAGCAACTAAAATAAGTAGTGTGAGCTACTGCTGTATGAGAGTATTACATTCTCCCGCTTCCCTCATTTGGGTTATGCTCTCTCTTGCTTAGCCCCTAACATTTGAGTTTGCAACAATGAGGGAAACATTCTCTGGCCTCTCTGGAAGGAATCTGCCAAAGTATGGATTCATTGTCTAAGGGAGTCTTAGCTCAGGTCTGAGGAGCAATAGCACAAGAGTTCCCCCATGATTGTCACCACACAGGGAAATGGTAACAGGTATTTGGCAAGTTGATGAGGTTTCCTTTTTATGTAATAATAAAATAGGATTATTGAAAGATCACTTAACTTTGACACTGACTCTTGACAAATTGTATTTTTAGTTTTATATTTAAGACTTTTTTGTTTTTCTTACCAATGCTTGTAAGTTCTTGATATGTTAAGGCAAGTCTTTCATCCATTTGTCTGCGTTAGAGCAGAACCAGAATTATTTTGAGGAAAAGCTTTCACTTGCTCAAGGGTATTCTCTTGGGAGGCAAGCCTTCTGTTGAGTTAAGTGTCCTAGCTGGTATCTTCAATTTTAAGAAGAGGATTTATTTTCTCTCCACAGCTCAGATGATTTTGAAAGCAATGAATCTGGCCTTAATTGGCCTTGCAGAATGACTCCTGGGAAGTACTTGTCAGCATGTGTAACTTCCCTCTTTTGGCCATTCACTGCTTATTAAAGGCTGAGTTCCTCGAAAGCTTTGCTGCCTGGCCTTTTCCATTCAGTATTTTGGTCTTGGTATTCTGTTTTACCCTCAGACTGAGCCAGGCCAGCTTAGCTAAGAACTGCATTCATAGGCCACCTTATTCATATGCCACTGCATTCATATGCCAAAATATGGCATACACACACACACACACACACACACAGACACACACACACAGAGAGAGAGAGACAGACACACACACAGACACACACACACACACACACACACACACAGAGAGAGAGACAGACACAGACACACACACACACACACACACACAGACACACACACACACAGACACACACACACACACACACACAGACACACACACAGAGAGAGACAGACACACACACACACACACACACATACACACACAGACACACACACAGAGAGAGAGACACACACACACACAGACACACACACACACACACACACACACACACATACACGCACACTGCAATTATGGAGCAGAGCCATAAGAAATAATCCCATGACACTTTCTATGATTTTCCATATACAGATGTTTTTGAGAACACAGGAAATTTCCCTCAAGTCTTAGTATCAAGAATAGCTGTGATTCTGCTGGTTTATTTTCTGGATACTGCTGAACCATGAAATCAGTGCTTTGCACTTAGTTTTAGCTGTGGAAAATCTTGGGGACAGATCCGTAATCTTCCTCTAGCAAGCACACAGGGCCCTAGGATGTTCACTTTTGCTATTTTCCTTACCCCACCTGCATTTTCCTATTTTTATGTCCACTTTGGCCCCATATTTTTTCTCCTTTTTAAAATCTTGTACTACATACAATTTTGTAGAACTGCTTCAACCTCATTTTAGAATGAGGCAAGATGTAAAGAAGTTAAATAAATTAAAAGTTTTTATCTGATTGGTCACTTGCTACAAACATCAATTTTTCTTTCAATTTTGTTGTAAACTTGCTGTTCTTTATGTAATCTGATCTGTTGGTTCTTTATGATGACCATGAAGAGAACTGGCATGGATCTGAGGACCCGTGTCTCTTAGCCATGGAGAGACATGGCTAAGATGGCTGATTCAGCAAATGCTGTGTTTAGAGCTTAGAAGAAGCAGAGATTGCATCTGATCCTTACTTTTCAAGGGTCCAGTTTCATGGTTTACTAAATTTCAGTTCCAATTACCACATTGATACAGGAAAGAAGGCAGTTGCATACCAACATAGGACTGGCTGCCCTAGAAGCATAGGAAATACCTGGCATTGAACTTGGTCCTTCACAAAGCAGGTGATCAGCTGGTGTTTTGTGGTTTATGTATTTAGTTGTGTTCTTTGAAGCAGTTGAATTGTGTAATTTTCCAAGGGTTGTCTGTCCCCAGGGTCTAGGTCTGGGGGATGCAATATGTTAGTGTCATCAGTGGCTTGACTTCAGTGACATTTTCTGCTTTTCTTTTTCAGAGTATGATCGATTGGGCTTCCTCCTGAATCTGGACTCTAAGCTGTGAGTAGAATGAGAAGATACCTTGGTTCTGTGGCAGAGAGGTCTGTGAAAACTGGGTCTCGCTTTGAAGGGTCAGCTCTTATCACTCTTCTGGTGAATGGGGGACTCCCTGGGGCCTCTGTCCTCAGACTGTCAGCAGAATCTTGGGGCATGTTACAGTCTGCAGTGGCTGGAGAGGGTGGGATGATAGGTGCAAACATAAAGCCTTCAATTTGGCTGGCATGGGCAGCTCGTTACAGAAGGAGGCCACCGCCAGGAGTTTGAGGGACTAGAAGGCTCCTGGAAGGCCTTCTCCTGCAGAGTAGAGAACAGTTGAGTCACAGCAGGAGGCAGGAGCCTCACGAAGATGCTCTGGCACCTGACATGCACAGCCTTCTGTGATCATTCTCTGTCTTCCTCTCCAGCTTCAACTCCTGCCACTCTTGCCACAGGTGAACCCTCCTTTTCCCTCTACCTTTGCATATGCTTGTTATCTGTGTCTGAAATTCTCTTTCCTTGCTAGTCCACTTGGAAAACTAAGAAACGACTTCCTCCCCACACAAAATGCCTCTTCCTCTGTGCTTCCTTTGAATTTTTTACCTCTGTTACAATTATCTTACTATGCTGTAATTGCATAATAATTACTAATTTTTTAAGGGCACAGGCTCAGAGCTAGGCATAGTAGATAGCTTGGTTCAAATCCCAGATTGATGTTTATTATTCTCTTTATGATTTGGGGCAAGCTACTTAACCACTCTGAGTCTCAGTTTCATCTGTAAGATGATGACAATAAACTTATTTCACAGGGTTGTTGTAAGAATTCCATTGAAATGATTAATTTATAGAGGACTGTCAAGTATTGAGTGTCTAATCCTTCCACAATCCTTCCCTACTAGCCTTATTGGTTTCTCTAGCACCTATACAGTATTAGTCTATGTGTGTCAGGTGCTCATTAAACACTGAACGCTTGGATGGATGGATGGATGATGGTAGGATGACTGCGTACTTCCCCTGTTTGACAAACATGCCTTGAGTTGCAGCTCTTTCCACTCTATGTGTTCATGCCCCATGCAAGCCTGCTCACCTGGCTGATGCTCAATAAATCCCTGCAAAACCACATTACTACCTACTGTGATTCCTTTCTATTGTTAGTCATCTTTGTACACCTTTGTCCCCTGCCCTGTACCAGGCAGACATCATGAAGGATCAGAATTGTGTCTCCTTCCTCTCCTGTCTTGCATAAGGCCTTTTCCACAGTTGCATCTGATGGTGATGGCCACACCTACATACAAGACATCAAACCAGGGGCTGGTTGGCTTTCCCACTGAATAGTCTGGCATCTGGCTTCTTGGGTCTGGTGCCTCGTGCTATGACTTCAAGCATTGTAAATCTCCCAACTTGTATACATTATGGAGGCAACTATGAAGGAAGAAGTGTCTATTCTGGTTATCAGGCTAGTAGAGAGATGTCAGCCGCATGTTAACATCTGAGGAATGGGGTTTGATTGTGGCTAGAAAGCCACAGGCTTCACTCTTAGAAAATTCTTACATCTTCATTCTTAGCTTCTGGGAAATGGAGTTTGAATGTGGCTAGAAAGCCACAGGCTTCACTCTTAGAAAATTCTTAATTTAGCACACAGGAAAAAATACAAATCAAGTATAAGCCCTAAGCAAGTGAAATGCCACCAGAACGGAAGAGATAGAGTAATTACCAAGTTGAATCACATTGATGAACAAAAGGCATATTCTCTAGGATATGTTAACTACAGTATTTAAACTGTCTTCAGTAGTGAAAAGAGGACGATGAGGAGGACACTCCCACCCTGCTCTCCTGACAGTTGGGTGGTACATAGTAGGCTGTTGTGTAGCTTTCTGTTGTGTATCAGGCCAATTCTTCGAGCTATGTGAGTTAATTTGGTCTTTAGCAGAGTAAATTGGCTTGGCCTCATTTGATTTAACTCACAATTTAAGCTACAAGCTAGAACTTTTCCTGCCTCTAGCTGCAAAGGTTTTTCTAGTCCAGTGCTGTCTTCGGAAGTCTAGTGCTGTCTCTCCAGTCTCACAGATACCTGAGAAAGGTTTCCACCTACTTCCAGAGAAAAATTTCCAAGTTAAGGATTCTGCTTTTGGTGGGAATCCTCAGCAAAGTTGAGATCTCCCCTCACCAAGTCCCTCTCTGGTTGTGTTATATTTTATTTCTGAGGTATAGGAAAGGACCTGAACTTGAATCAGAACTGGATTTGAATTCTGTCTCTGCTGGTTAGTATTATATAACCTTAGACAATTATTATATTTTAGCTTTCTGAATCCCAGTTTTCCTTTATGAAAAATTTAGATAATAGTACTCACTTTCTATGGTTTTATGAGGAATAAAAGAAAGGGTTCTGTAAAGTATGAATAATTATGCCAATGTAAGGCCTTCTTTTTATTTATCTTGATTAGGATTCATTTAGCTTCTTCTTTTTTTTTTTTTTAATTTTTATTTTTGGTACAGTTAGGCTCTTGGTGTGTTGCCCATGCTGGTCTTGAACTCCTGGGCTCAAGTGATCCTCCCACCTCAGCCTCCTAAAGTATTAGTATTACAGGTGTAAGCCACAGTATCTGGCCTCATTTAGATTCTTGGGTATAAGAATTTCATATGTTCTGGAAAGATTTCAGCCATTATCTCTTTAAATATTCCCTCTGCCATACTCTTTCTCTATTCCTCTTCTGAAATTCTGATTGAATTTTAGACCTTTCTCATTATATTAACTTACCTTCCATATTTTTCATCTTTTAATTATTTTCACATTAAATTAGAACCCTAAAAGACTCAGCATAAGGATAAACTAGAACACTAATAAACCTGCACCCCCAAAGCAGGGCTGCAAGAACGATTACCAAAACCCTGAGTAGGTCATAGCAATGGAACAGAAACATTTGATATTTGTGGCCAGAGTTCTCATCACTCAAGTGATCTAGGGAACCTCAAGCTGTGAGTTCAGTTTAAGGTATTCCAGTTTGACCTCCAAGCACCTGGCAGAAGTAAATGCAGACTTTCCATAGAGGAAGTCATATGCATTCCCCACAAAATAACTTTTCAAGGAAATGAACAGCTCACAGTAAAAAACAACTAAACACACAAGGAAACAGGCTTCTATTGAAGCTTGTTCTCATGGTTTTATGAGAACCATGTAAAACAACTGACTGAACAGAGGAGTACCCACAAAGATTTCTGAAACTGGAATTATTGCCACACATCATTTGTAAAACAATTAAATATGCTGTATTTAAAGAAATAAGAGACAATACTGAACTATATGCGTAGCATAGGGAACTATGAAAAGCACCAGATTTGAAAAACATGAACTTCTAGAGTTAAAAAATACAGTGACCAAAATCAAAAACTCAATAAAAGGGATTAGCAGCAGATTAGATGCAACTAAAGACAGAATTAGTGAACTGGAAGGTAAGACAGAAGAAATTATTTATAAGAGGGGTTGGCAAACTCTTTTGGCAAAGGGCCAAATGGTAAATATTTTAGGATTTGGGGCCTTTTTTTTTTGTCACAACTACTCAACTTTGCTGTTTTAACATGAAAGCATCCATGGATAGTACATAGATAAATGAGTATGGCTATATTTCAATAAATCTTTATTTATGGACCTTAAAATTTTAATTTTATATAATTTTTTTTTTGAGATGGAATTTCACTCTTATTGCCCAGGCTGGAATGCAATGGCACTATCTCAGCTCACTGCAACCTCCGCCTCCCGGGTTTAAGCGATTCGCCTGCCTCAGCCTCCCAAGTAGCTGGGATTATAGGCATATGCCACCACGCCCGGCTAATTTTGTATTTTAAGTAGATACGGGGTTTCTCAATGTTGGTTAGACTGGTCTCGAGCTCCCGACCTGAAGTGATCCGCCCACCTGAGCCTCCCAAAGTGCTAGGATTACAGGCATGAGCCACTGCACCTGGCAATTTTATGTAATTTTTATGTGTCATAAAATATGCTGCTTTTAATTTTTTTCCTCATCTATTAAAAATGTAATAAGACATCCTTAACTCACAGGCCCTATAAAAAACAGGTGAAAGGTTGGCTTTGGCCTGCAAGTTGTAGTTAGCTCACCCTTAATTGAGAATGCAACACAGCTACATCGGCATGAGAATTGTCTCCTCACTCCAGGTGTTTTCCATTCTTGGAACCCTATTGCATAGAAATACTCCTTTAAAAAAAAATGGATTCAGGGGGCAAATGTGCAGGTTTGTTACTTGGGTTTACTGTGTGACACTGAGGTTTGGAGTATGGATGGTCCCATTACCCAGGTAGTGAGCACAGTACTAAACAGGTAGTTTTTCTTCCCACTCTCCACTCCACTCTAGTGGTCTCCAGTGTCCATTGTTCTTATTCTTATGTCCCTATGTATTCAGTGTTTAGCTCTCATTTGTAAGTGAGAATATGTGATATTTCGTTTTCTGTTCTAATTTGCTTAGGATAATGACTTGCAGCTGCATGTATCACTTTTCATAGAAAAGAGAAAACTCTTCTAAAATGCATGCGAAACCAGAAAAGAGCCAGAATAGCCAAAGCAATCCTAACCAAAAAGAACAGAGCTGGAGGTATCACATTACCAGACTTCAAGCTCTACTATAAGGATATAGTAACTAAACATGATACTGCTACAAAAACAGACACACAGACCAATGGAACAGAATAGAGAACCCAGAAATAAAGCCACTCAGCTACAACCATTTGATCTTCGACAAAGTCTGCAAAAGTAAGCAATAAGGAATGGGACTACCTATTCAATAAACGGTGTTGGGATAACTGGCTAGCCATATGCAGAAGAATGAAACTGAACCCCTACATTTTACCATATATAAAAATTAAGATGGATTAAAGATTTAAATGTAAGACCTCAAACTATAAAAATCCCCACAGAAAACCTAGGACATACCCTTCTCATCACTGGCTTTGGCAAAAAATGTATGGCTAAATCCCCAAAAGCAACTGCAGCAAGAACAAAAATTGACAAGTGAGA